GGCAAGTGTGAACAACCCATTAGTTTCGTTTTCTGTAGTAAAAGCTACATATATACGTATCGCCGGTGATACTACTAAACTTTCTACATATGTATGTCAATTATTACCTCTGTCACCTGTATATGATCGCTTCTGTTGAGCGCTCATCTTCATCAGCTAAAGTTAGGCAGTTTTGTCATTACTTTATAGGAGTGTAATGATTCGCAGATACATTCCAATGCAGGTAACAGACCATCTACATAAATGCCAGGGGTACTAATTGAGATAGAACGTTTTGCACTAACACCGACGATATGCACATTCATATGTACATATATGCGTACAAGTTCACTGCCGGCAAAAAGTATTGGCACAGATGATTTTTAACAATATATGCAACAATTTTGTTTGTAATATTTTTCCGAATCTTTTTTTATAAAAATATGGTTCATTCCACAACAAAAAACATAAAAATATAATTTTTAAACTATGTGCGAAACTCGCGAAAATTCAGCAAATTTTCAACTTTTTAATTAGATTTGTTAGATTTTTTCTGATAATGCAGAATTGTAGCCCAATTAATTTGATTGTAATAAAGTAGAAGTTCTAAATAGCTACGAATTACCGTTAATTTTTGGTAATTTTTTCCCGCAGTCTCTTCCATATAAACATTTACTTTATATAGAAATAATGCAAAACACCTTTAACAAAAAAAATTCTCAAAAATCAACACGATTTTTTACTAACTCCGAACTTGCATTTTTTATACCAGAATGGGCTACAAATCTGCATACTCCAACAAGTTCAAAAAAATATAATTAAAAAGTTGAAAATATGCAGAATTTTCGCGAGTTTTGCACAAAGTTTAGAAATTATATTTTTAAGTTTTTTTTGTTGTGCATATTTTTATAAAAAATTGTGCCAATACTTTTTGCCAACAGTGTATTTATGTATTGACCGCACAAAGCGGCTACAATTTGTCTAAGAGAAGCCAGATCCCTCCGTTTATATCAGTGCATTGTGGACGAACCAACTGGACTATATAAAACATCCCTCGATATGCTGGTGGGCATACCTACTTACTCGTATAAGCACGCACGTTATAGGGTGCACTGCAGCACCTAATCTGCCTAAACCCAATATTTCTATACTATTGGAAGACGTTATAAGTCAACAAAAAGCAGAATGAAGAATAATGGTAGAATAATTTATTCAGAAAGTTTTACGGGTTTAAAAAATTCTAACATTTTCGTAGGTAAGCCGGTGATTGTACATAATCACGTCGTACCCTCCTCTTCAAAAGAGGCCCAACTCAAAACTCAGCTCCGGAATGATGCGCATAACTGATAGGATAAATAGGATAGTTATTTTTATGAGAGTAAATAATGGTTTGTCCTTCGCCTTGATTGTTGAAAAACGCGAGTTATTCAATAAGATTAAAAAGAAATTTTAATCCAAATACCTTAGAAAGATTTCATAATTATTCATTGATTCTGAAATATATATTTAAAGCAATTTATTACTGACTGTAAATTTTAAGCGTTACTATACATATGCTGGCTTATTAAATTGGTTGTGGATTTCTTGTTAACAGAAATTTACGTATGTATGTATGTACATATGTACACAAATTACGATATATATACAATACAATGCCATGGAAATGAGAGTGTTTAGATTTTCTTTGTTAATTTTTGCTTCTCTAGTAAATGTTGATGTCATAATTCGGGTTATATTTATTCAACTGTTTATGCGGGCAGACAAGAGATATCAGCTTAGAAGGTTTTTCTTTGCCGCAGCCATTTCAATAGGCGACTTTTGGTCGCCAAATATTGGAGGCAATGAAAGGGATACCAAACAAGCGATGCACTGCACTTAAAAGGCACATATCGTCAGCTTAAATGCAAAAAGACATAAAAACATCGTAACTGAAATGGAAAAAGTCGTGACTAAACATTTTTTTTTCATTAAATGATTTGGAAGTTGTAATTCAATGTAATCCATGATATCAATCAAAAACTGAATTTTGAATTTTTTATTAGTAACGACCTTTCGAATTTCAGCGACGATGTTAGTTACGTCTTTTTGCATTGCAGGTGCCGATATATTGATGAAGAAAAGTGATTGTCATATGAGAGCAAAGTAATTTACAGAATAAACAATTGGCCAAAATACACTTAACAAAATTGTAAAAAAATTAATTTCACCTGTTTGAAAATTTGTTCTTAAATCCTCTTTTGCTGCTTAAAAGCGTTTTATTACTTTAGTACAACAAAATAAGTAGCCTGTTATTTTGAGTCCAAATTGAATATCAAATGCAATTCTTCAACCCTGCCGGTTAAGGTTTGATTTTACAAAAGTGAATTAGAGTCTTTAAGAATAAGATATTAACCTAAAAATCAAGCCGGTCAATTTTGTACCTATATATACATAAATTTTATTTTAAAGCAATAAAAACTAAAAATTGTATAAAAAACGAAATTTGTAAAAAATAATTAAAAATAAAACCTAAATGACATTTGAGAAAAAGAAAATTTAATCTAAAAAAATAAAAATATATAAATAAAAATATATGGTAATAAGTATTTTTCTTTTTAAAAAATGTTTGAATACAAAAGAAAAATGAAATAAAATAAACATTTGAAATTAAACAAGTAATTTTTAAGCAAAAAACAAAATCGACTCATTTCTCATATACAAATTTAAGAGTGATCCAATGATGATAAAAAATAAATAAAAATATTCCGATGAATTGATAACCATCTCCTTTTTTTAAGTCGTTTAAAATAAATAATTTCTTTTTAGCAAAAAAAAATCAAAAAACTAAATGAAAAATAAGTTCATAAACATTAAATGAAATAAAAAAATGCTTTCTAAAACAAAAAATAAACTAAAAACTTAAAGAAAATTTAACAAAACAACCAATTTTTAAACAAAAAATAAAACCGACTGCAATTTTCATATACAAATTAAGGAGTACCGTTAATTTCTTAATGATTCAATGATCGGATCTGGTCTATCATATATAGACAAAAAATTTCGACGAATTTATAATCTTTTTTGAAGTCTGTTAAAAGTAAAACCAAATTCAATGAAAACAAGAAAAAACAATTTCGCTGCCTAAGGACTCCAGCCTTGGATCTCTCGAATAGCATGTCAGTGCTTTACGCACTCGACCATTGCGAGTGTTGGAACAGCGCGACCAAAACGACAAGTACTTTCTGTCAAAAGAACTTTTCACCATGAAAGATGGAAAGGAAGCTTTAGTTTAGCCAATTTTTGGACTTAGTCAAGAAGAAGCTGATTAAAACGTAGGCTAATTTTTACCTTAGCCTAGATGGTGAATATGAATAAGTAAAAAAAAATGGCTAAACTAAGTTAAGTTCCGGAAACCCAGCCCCACACTATCGTAGCCAGAATGCTTTTCATAACTCGAAGCAGTTCTAATTTTTATCGCGATTCAACAACAGCTTATTTGTAATTTGCTTACGCATAGTTTCCCTCCCATTTCAATACTCCGGCTCTCGTATGGGCCCAGTGGGAAAACGGGAATGCCTTTCCTCTTCCCACAAGAAAAGATTATCAACTATGGTTGAACGAAAAAATGCATCGCGATATAAGCGAGCGGATGATGCGTGGTTTTGAAGCCACAAACAAAACAAAAAGTGTGAAAACTAACTTAGGTATGTATTTTCACGTTATCTCAACAGCTGCTGTAGCCGAATGAATGCTCGGTCCTCTGCCGTGTTGTTGGTCACGGGATTCAAAACCCGTGGCACGGACTTTATTTTTTGTCTTCTTTTATTTTTTAATCTTATTTATTGTTTCGTAAAGCGACATGCGACACATTACTTTCGTATGACATCGCTGTGGAAAAATTCTTGCATCTTTTCGTGCGTAGGTTTTTGCATTCCTAGACATTACCTTTTCCCCCCTGGGTAAGCACATTTGTATGTGTGTATATACATACATGTGTTTCAAAACACGTTTTACAGCATCGCTTGATAGAGAGAAAAGAAAGTCAACAAAAGATCAGACGAAACTTGTACCTATGCCAAATAGGAAAAATGCCAGAAAACGTGAATTAAATGAAAAAGAAGGGCCAAGAGTAAAGTGGCATAGAAATGAGCCGCAACGCAGAATTGAAACGAGTAAGTGAGAAAATATCAGATAGGTAGATACGAATAAATCAACTAAAGCATGCGGTCGATCTATGGCTGAAAATGAGTCACGAGATGAATAATTAAAGATACATAACTTGATAAATGATCATGTTCGAACTATGTATGTATAAAGTACACTTGGCAGATACTTAATATCTATTCGAGATGATGCTTAAGTAATGGAGTTTGTGCCTCCGTGTTGACGGCTTAGATACAAAAGAGACTTAGATAAAGTTTATACTTCTAGTTATTTTAGTTGTTATGTAGATACATACATGCATATGTATATGTATATGTTCACATGTTTGTATGCGCAGTTTAATAGATAAGCCACCGCCCGCCCGCACAAGCCAGAGGCGCGCGATCAAACACACATTGGCTTTCAAACTGTGCGCCTTTGTACTTATGAAGCTATGTATTTGTAAGCGACCCGGCTCTTTGTCCGCTTTCGCCTGACCTTGCTTGCAATAAAAAAACGAGTTGTACTATTTATGGTAAAACATAAATAATTAGCCAATGAGTGGTATGTGAGCGAGTAACTTACATTTTCAATTAGGCGCAGCAAGCAATTCAAGTGTTGAAGTGAAAGTTTTAAAGCTGAGGAAAGTGTTTGCCTGGTGCAATTGTTTGTTGCCACCAGATATGCCAATTAAATGTATGGATGTACGCTTAGCAATGTTAATTAGCTTCGTATTTGTATTGTATTAAAAAAAAATTGCACCACAATGTAAAAATATGGTTGTTGAATTAAAAAAAATAATAATAATAATCCACTCTGCTCAAGTAAAGGCGAATAATCTCGCTTTGCTTTATCTTTTCTACACGTTTCTTTACTGCTTCGTTATTCTTTTTTCGCACTTCACAAGTGATCTGCGTTCTTTCGTATATCTAGTTTTTCACAAAGGCACACACACGCACACGCACACAGAGTGCATACACAAATTATTTATGTATTTACTTGAGATTGAGGGGCTTGGTGGCGGCAGGAGCCGTCGTATTACTGCCCACAAGAAATTACTTTCAATTAAACAACAAAGCGGCAAACAATTATTTTATTTGCTACTTTATTTTTCTATTTTTTGTGTAGCTAATGACGTAGACAAACACCTCACTGGTAAAAATAATCGAAGCTTGTCGTGCGAAAGTTGCTAGAGAACTGAAGTCAATTGGATTTTTCATTGGATTTTAGCAGAATCCAACAAGTTTTTGTTGCTGTTCGAACAGTTGGGGGGGTTGCTACGGCTACATGTTGTAAAAGGTAGTAGAAAAAGCTTACATGACGAAAGCTTTTAGCTTAGTGAGCTTTGATGCGTTTGTGTGGTCGCGTTGCCAGAGAACACAATAAATACATATACACAGGCATTTTACATAAATTTAAAGTATTTGTTTTACAAATTCACAGATTTTTCAGAATTTGGAATAAAAACAATTTGTTTAAATTTGTTTTAGATTTCGATTTGCTGAAAATAAATAATGATTTATATATGTATATGTCGTTAGGAGACGGAAAACAATTATCTGACTGAAAACTAAAAAAACCCACGATTTTGAAAGCTCCCTAAATAGTCTCCGAAAGTGAGCACGATCTCTCGAAATCGGATCAAACATTATACTAGGCATACATATACAGAAGTAGACTATCTCCATTTTCGAGCTTAACTCTATAATCTGTATTTAAAAAAACAAAGTGCTAAACATGATGCAACTTGTTCAGTCCCGCGAACCGATAGATAAGACATTGCCAATCTTTAAAGTCGTTGAGCATAGAGGTGATCCAAAGATTCCGTGCCTCTCAGATTGAGTAGGAGTCCTGATTTGAGATACGGTAACAGTAGGCGGACACGTGGAGAGCATTGCGATCACTTTCAGAGCCACGTAGATACATACACCGATTTCTAAGCGCTTCAGATTTATGGGGAGCCATTTCTTCGAGAACCATCACAGCTTCCGCATCACCGATCGGAGTGGTTGTCGGTCTTTTAAAGGCATTTAGGGATGGGGTTTTGGTTAGTATTCTTCTCTGCACCCCTGTAGCCACCGATACTTTTTGTTTGTAATTTTTGTGTATTTTATTTAGAGTTCACAAAATCAATTGAAGTGATTTTTTGAGCTTTGCGTTTTTGCTTTATTGCAAGGATTGTTTGGTATAGTTTTTGTGAATGCAACCTTACCTTTCCAATATTATTTCTATGTTTTTTTTTTGTTTTATGTTTTTTTTGTATCGAAATTTGAGAAAAACCAATAGTTGTTGTTCTGGCTTTAAAGCACACTTCTCATTTTCTGTAGTAAACTTTTATTTCATTCGGTGTATGGAAATAAGCCTTTCTCTTCCAGATGAATGTTCAAAGCATCACTACCTTGCATTTGTGCCTTTTTATTTAAGCCGCTAAACATGTTTTGACTGTTACGAGTATAACCGTTAAAGTGCTTGAGTGGTCTGTGAGCTGTAGCCAACGGAATTCGGGCATGGGAAACTGGCTGCTATAAATACGAAAAGAGCATCAACATTTTGTAAACAGTTTATGAATAAAAATGCTTGCATTACCCGCCGGCCTATTAGAACCGCGTTTTCATCGAAAACTCTTCCAATTCGCATTGCAGTCATTTTCCGCACGGAACTGGGCAGACGATTCAGCAGGAAATCAAATACCGGTCGTATTAGAAAAAAATAGCAGAACTCAGGAACTGACATGACTCCAAAACCTACCATCAATCCCAAAATGCCACCTGTTTGTGCTGTTGCGAAATAAGTACATACAAACCAATTAATGCTCACAAAGTTTGTAATAAGGTACCCTCAACAACTCACACAAATAGTCCGTAAAGCTGGTATATGGCGATCTAACCTTAGACCTAAAAAAATCATTTGCAAAATAAACCTGCACCAATGCGAAATTCTCATGAATCTCTTGCTTTGTAAAATTCGTAAAAAAGCCATCTTTGAAAACAAACGAAGTATTCGCCAGTGGTGTTCCATATACATCCGGGTAATACTCCGAACGGAAGCACGCAGGCAGACACTTACGCTTGCAGGCCACATGCTGCTCGTCATTGATCTCTGCTTCTGCGATTCTTTCACAATTGAAATCCTTCACATCACAAATACTTGCATTTTGATAGATGAGCGGCATGTGATATGGAATGCATTTGCATCGGCGTAGAAAATATTTGGAATCACATTCCATCTCACAATTGCGGCGCGTGTAGTACCGGAAGTAATACAATTCTAGCTCGTTGTTGAAGAGACATTGGCGACGTTTAGGCGGAATGGTGCGTGTCGAAGGTAGAGACTTGGAGTTGTCTATATTAATACGGAAAAGATACTGGTAGCCCGTTTGAACGAACAAGCCGGTCTCTTTGACGTGCGGCGTATCGATTGGATTGTGGGCGATTATCTAAGGGGAAAAAAATTTAAGGTTATACAAGGATAAGTAATTATTGGCGGGAGTACAAAAGCAGATATTTTTGTAATGAACTCAAGGAGAAGTATGCTATAGTCTTATAGTTGAAGAAAATATGAACATACATGAGCCTACATATACATATGTAAATATTTTATTGCTAACAAAACAAAATGGCGTAAGATAAGTTGGTGGTTAGCGGTAAGCTTACAGTTGCACATAAGTTATACTGAAACGGCAAATTGACCTATGAAAGGAAGGAGTTTCGTTGATAAAATGGCAATTTTGGAAGTGAACGCAATGATAAGTAGTGTAAGGATAACGACAGAGTTAAAGACTAAGGCGAAGGCTAAGGCAAAGCCACAGTCAAAAGCAATAATAAAAAAGCCAAAGACCAATATAAAATACGTATTAATAATATTAAGAAGAAGATGCAAATGCAGCTGTAGTTAAGAAATGCAAATGAATATGAAGATGGGGATGAAGATGACGATGAAGATGAGGTGAAAGATAAAAATCAAAATAAAGATAGAGGTAAACGTAGGTTTAGGTAGGATTAAGACAAAGATCAAGATAAAGATACCATAGAAAATTTAATTTTCCAAATTCATAAACTTTGAATCGATTGCGCAGGTTAAAGATATGTTTTAAAGTAATCTTTCGTGGCCAATTATTATTGACTTAGTCCTAAGACAACATAATATTACTATTGCAGTATGATCAAAGGCCTTTTATTTTTCCCCATACAAAATTGTCCCAGCCTAATATGTATTGCAAAATTATTCTTTTCTGGAATGTTTTCTATGAAATTTCACTTCTTCAGCGTATAGGGACTACACGCACTCAGTTTTGTTTGGTTTTGTTCATTTCAAGGATAAAAGCATATCGTCGTTTAATGTACAAAACCGCGTATCAACAAAATGCAAAACCGCGTATGTGAAGTTGCATAAATTATTTTCCAGAGAGTAAAAACGCTAATATTACAAAATAGTTCTCTTTTTTTATAAAGCAATCGCATTTCTGGCAAGTACATTTCAGGACGAATGGATAAAGCTTGAGCCAAGAGCTTGTGTGAGAAAATCCAATTTTTGACAATAAATTTTAGTTACACGGTTTTGCTGAACGACGATACACGGTTTTGTACTTTAAACGACGATATGTACCAATGTACCAATGTACCTTCAAACCGGTACTAAAAGTTGAAGTGCAGATATATTCGCTGAGGTTAGCATTGAGCACAAAAGTGAATCCCATGGTAACACCAGCGCCTGAAAGAAAGTTTGTTTTTCACTTTTAGAATATTAAAAAAATATTTGCTATCCTCCTTAAACCCTACCAGCTGGTCTTCGCGGATAGTAGTACAATGGCAACTGTTCAGCGTAGCCAGTCTCCAAGTTCCAGTCGACTGGTATGGTACCAACAGACGAGGTGAAGTCTCTTACGAATATGTATCTATTAAAATCAAAATCGAACAATAATTGTTAACAAACCCCTTTTACCCCCTTTTATAGAATACTTAACTTACTTTCCTTTATATAAATAGGATGGATGTAAAATATTAAAGGAACAACAAATGCCCTCATCCATTAGCACCTCTCTGAAGAAATCAGTACAGCGGTCTTCCTTGTTCCCAAAACGACAGTAAACAATCATATTGTTACAAGTCTGTCCATTCTGTTGGAAAAAATTCAAAAAAAAAAAAATCTTAAATGCAACATTCTTTCCCACAAACATTTAACTTCACCACGCGCCAGATGAAATTCGTGAACGTGTCTTCCTTTGAGGCAGGTTTCAGATCATCGAATTGGCTATAGTCGACATCTTGCAAACATATCTTCTGTGTCATTGCATAGCCCCGTGAATGGCTGCGGTGTTAAACACAAAAAAAAAAATTCCTAAATAGTTATGTACGTGTCTAACGAAACTAAAAATGTTTCACGAACTTGCTACTCACCGTGGATAGTTTTCGACTTTGCTACGCAATGCCTGATTCATATTGCAGATTGTGATGGCTGGGAAGGGGGTATCGCGTATAGTCGACGTTTGTGCCTCGATGCCTATAATAATCGGTGTTGTTTCCCAACGCGTAAAAACATTCGTGGCAAAATTTACTGCCAACGTAATGACCGCAACAAACCACAGCAAAAAGTAGGTTCTGTGCGAAGTTAACGAAAATGAATTCGAATCTGATAGTTTGTTAATGCTAACGTAAAATTTACCTCTCCCATAAGGACAGGCTTGCATTACTAACATAGATTAGCCCATGTAACGTGGTTTGGCTTAGAAATTTTGTTATATAATCGCCGATTATTTCAAAAACTCTTTCATATTTAGGCTTTTGCTGCAATTCTTTCTTGCCGCAAATCGAGTTGGTAAGCATTTTTCGGCTTACTTTTGTTTAGCTGTCACTGAGGAGCAATCAGGTTACGCAATGAAGCTAAAAAGGAAGAAATCTCATCAAGTCATTACTACTTACGGCTAATTGCTACTACCATCGTAATCGTGCGAGTGGGCGTGGCTACAAAGGTTAATTAGGCTGGAAGCGTTACAAGAGCAGGATACTTGTATTCATTGACAGAAAAATTACACTGCGCAAAAATTGTAAGGTTTCATTTGAATTCCTCAAAAAAAAATAATGGCTTAGCGGTTTTTGTAGATCTTATTTTGAAGTGATTCCATGTGCGTTCATTTTAAGGAACCGTTCAGAATATTTTCGCGATTAGTTGTATTTTAGTTGTCGGGATTTTCATTCACTATGTTTTTTCCTTAAAGATTTTTTTAGAATTTTTGCAGAACTCTTGTAATTTTTCAAGATTTTCTAGGTTTTTGTTTGGACCGCTCAGAATATTCCGGGTTTATTTGTGTCTAACTTTTCAGCTTTTTTCCGGAATAACTTGTAACTTTCTCTATTACTTTTCAAACTTTTCTTGCGATTTTTCCGAGACTGTTCCAAATATTTTGGGAGCTTTCGGGCTCACTTGTGATTAACTTTTCAGTATTTTTTGAAAACCTATGGAGTTTTCCGTGCCTACTCTTTTGGATTATTTAGGGATTTACAAGTTTTTCGGTATTGTTAAAGATTTTTTCGGGACCACTCAAGACGTTTTCGAAATTCTTGGTCCGTTAGTTTTTCTGATATTTCCAATATTTTTGGAACACTTTTAAATTAATTTATACTGGACATTTCGGGAGTTACGAGTTTTTTCATAGTTTGCAATATTAGTTCGTGATTTTTTCAGGACTCTTATGAATATTTTCGGGGTTCTTTGAGTTTTACTCATCATGATTTTTTGGGCCTACGTTTTCCTAACAAATTGTGGGTTCTTTTGTTTTATGAGTTTCGTCACACTGTGCTACCCATGACCCGATTTCTGAATATTGTAGGTGAGATACGGTCCTCAATTGTGGCCATTGTGGAACGTACGCCGCATAAAGCTGAAATTAGTCAAGAACGCAAACCTACCGGTACGTAAACCCGAGTCAGCTGACACGATATGTCTTACCAAAGCGCCATGTAAATGAAAACTCAACACCGCAGAATTTTTCTGTAGTTGTAGCCCGTAGTGCAGAAATCTGCGGAATTTAGATTTTTCCGTGTCAGCTGATTTCTTCCTTTTTAGATGGTTGCCACTTCGTCCGTTTTGCAAATGGTAAAAATGTTATAAGTTTCCATTCAAAATATGTTTAAGATATTTGAAATTTACCATTGAATAAGGTTTTTTGTTGAAAACTAAGTAGTTTATATTTAGCTACAATCAATTATAGCACGAAGAATTTTAGTTGAAAAGGTAAGTTTATGAAAAGGCATTGATGAGTGGCAACACTGTAGTAAGCAACACTGAGGGCCCCAGTAATCGACAAAATTCTGCGTATACAGACTGCGTGTAAGTATACGTTCTGCGTTCTTGACTAAAAGCTCAGTTAGTCTAGACTTAACTTAATTTAACTTACCGTAAGAAATCATCAATGATTACTCAACACGTCAACTTAAGCCAAGAGCGGAAATATTTTGTTTTTGTATTTTCTTTTTCAGCTGTTTAACAGTTCGCCGCCTTAAATGCCACATCAAAAAAATTCATGCAAACAACAATGTTTGCTTTCATTTATTTTTAAGAAATACAAAAACGAGAGTCTGGCAAGCCTGATTCTCTCACCGCTCTCAATTTCCGTAAGACCGTAACTTAAGAACCTAAAATCTACAGGTTCTTAAGTTTCTTACGCTAAGTTAAGTTTTAACTAACCGCCAACACAGTTTCTCATATAACAGGTTGGCCGAAATATTTAGTTAAGTTACGTTACGGAAATTAAGTCTAGACTAACTGAGCTTTAATTTCAGCTTCACTCAGCTGCTATATTTCGAGGTACGATTATATTGCTTCTATCTCTCTCTCGCTCTCCATCTCTCTCTCTCTCTATCAACAGCAATTTGATATGTTGAAACGTAAGGGCGCTCTGTCGATGGCTATTGAGGATATTTTTGAGGATCACCTTTTTTTTAAAGGAAAAAGCTTCGAAAGCCCCCTTTGAATCTTTTGCTAAAATGTCATTATTTTCAACTTTCGTGCTCTCCAGTTGTTAAAGTCTAAGGTATTGCTCTATATAAGAATGTGGAGTAAAACTTTGATTTACTGAAAGTTTACATGCACCAAACTTGTAGAAGAAAGCAAAATTGTTTCTTAGTTTTAGATGACTTGCACATGTTGTGTAGGCCAAATATTAAACAAATATTTCTTTTCATAAGGCATATTTTAAATATTTATTTGTCAAAGTCTGAAGAATTTTATTAAGTATCTGATAAAAATTTCTATACTTATTTGTATGTATGTATGTATGTATGTTTGTACACATACATATGTATGTAAATATTTGCTTGAATGGTTTTTTCAAATATCTTTCTAAAACAAAATGCACTAAAACAAAACTTACAGCAATGCTGACTTTTTGCCTGCATGCGATTTTATTCAATTACATTTACGTAAGTACTAAAATCAAATATTGAGTGCTCAACTTAGTTTGAAATATGTAGTTTTAATTCGGAATATCGCTTTTGTCCAACTGTCAGGAAATATGTTTTTCCCCTTTGCAAAGTTCGAGAATGGCTGTATCGTTTTTTGTGCAATTTTGTATACCTTAAATATGTAGACTTTTAGAGGATGGTTATAGGCTAAAAATAATTTCCATATATCAAGAGGGCGTGGCAACAATTATGCAAACTTAATTTTTCATACTGTACGAAATATGCAAAATATATTTTCTTAAAAAAATTAGATTAAAGAGTTTGAGATTTTAATGAAACTTGTTTAAATATTCCTCAATTTTCGCCAAAGTTTGAAATTTTTATTCACATGGTTTTTGATGTATTTTAAAAATTAAGGTAAAAAATTTACCATCAAAACATTTTACACATCGTAATAAAAATAAATACAAACTAGTAAAAAACCTCGTATTTCTGAAAAATTCCATCAGCCTTTAAAAAGTACTAGTATTGCCACGTGTTGAAAATGACTTAAAACTAAGTTTAGCATCCAATAAATAAAAAAAAAATGCAACTCAACACATTTTCTGTTAGAAAATTACTTTAAACTCCCAATCGAAAGCTGGCTCGCCGCTTTGCCGCTCATTGCGTGGCCTCGGCCTTACGCGCTCATTTCAAAACATTAGAGTTTGAATGATTATGCGAGGTTATAAAAACAAAACCTACTTTCTAGGAGAACAAAAATTGCTTGACGTTTTAATTAGATTTGGTAAGTTTATGGAGGGTATTAGATTTTCGGAATATTTTCATTTAAATAGACATTTTTCAAATTTAAATAATTTAAATACTTATTGACTTTTCGATGAATTAAATATTAAACTACGCTTTTAATCGAATATCACATTATATTAATTTAAGAAAATTTGCAAGTTTTATTGCTCGTGTTAACTAACTTTGATAAAGTAGCATACAATTTTTATTTAATACTTTTAAACCTTTTTAATATGAACATTTTATCTTCGTTAAGCGTTGATTTTTAGTTCGATTACTTTTTAGCTTTTGTGTAAGTCTTCTTTTCTTCTAACTATCCTTAAAACTATAAAAATAAAATGGAGTTGCTCAAAGCTGCATATTTCCTACGTCGCCAAAACTATCTAGAAACCCATAACATCTCCCTCTTTACGATAGTCGGCATTTCCGTAAATTTTGCCGCCGACACGTTCAATACCACAAACAGCAGATCCACGCTCCCTATACCGCTTGGTCTTATGCCCCTTCGCCTCCAAAGCATTAATAACATCCTGCAATATGCCATATTCATACTCGAATATATTCGGTTCCAATTGGTGATGAAAGCGCGGTGCATCAATAGCCTGTTTAATATTCTGCTCCAACCAAAGTATTCGCACCAAGATATGCACCAGAACGGAGATAATTTTTGTGCCACCAGCAGCGCCAGTCACCAAACGCACCTCGCCGCTCTGATCGGTTACAATAATGGGACTCATGGAAGAGATGGGCGAGGCGCCGGGGTTAATGCGATTCTTCTGCGGCATATTGGGCAGATCAAAGTAATTTTGTAAACCGTCAATGGCGAAATCTGACATTGCGTTATTGAAGAGTATGCCGGAGCGCGCGCCGATTTTGCCGCTGCCAAAACTGAAAGCACAAAAGTAGCTCTACACATTTCCAAAAAAAAATAAGTCCATAAGCGCACTTACTAGAAGTTAATCGAGCTCGTTGCGGCTACGGCATCACCGTTTGGCGCCAACACCGATATATGCGCTGTACCATACTCCGTGCGTGTCACCAAGTGCTCGCTGGCGCCATAGCTTGTAGCATCCCGGAAAGTACGCGCCTCATCAATTAGATAAGCCAGTTGACGCGCAAAGGTCGCATTTGTGAGATTGAATAATTCCTTAAGCGTTAAAAATAGAAAGCAAAATATTAAAATTAATTTGAAGACAGTATAAACGTAGTCCGCAATGCACCTCTTCCGGCGCCTCTACATCCAGCTTCCAACGTTCGACGAACCCAAATTTGAGCGCCTCGACGATGCGATGCAGCCCATTGGCATCGAGATTGCCTACGGTAGCAAACTTCATACGAAATTTTTCCAAAATTTTCATCACAAATCCAACCACATAACCGCTGCCAGGTGGCGGTGTGAAGTGCAATGTGTACGGACCCAAAGTTACATTGGGTGAAAAAACTAAGTCGGCTGTCAAATTTTGCATGTCCAACTCATTGATGGGACTGCCGAACTCGCGCAAGTCACCTACAACTTTCTCCATCAAATCGCCATGGTAAAAGTCTGCTGGTCCATCGCGTGCCAACGCTTCGTATGTGCGACAGAGCACGTCCGGTGGCCGTACATGCGCGCCCGTTCTAAACACTTGGCCAGTTTTTGGATCTACAAACATTTTGCGCAGCACGGCATTCTCTTTGAGCAGCTTGCCATTTATATATACCGAATCGCGTTGGTGTTTGGTGAGTATATAACCATTACGACATAATTTTGTGGTCGGTTCCACCAGTTGCCGCCAAGGCAGCTTGCCGAAATGTTGATGCGCCACCGCATAGCCGGCAATCTCAGCGGGCACTGCAATACCCAAAGCCGATTGAAAAATGGTGCTTACATTCGTCGCAGGTAATTGGAAATGATGTGGCGCGCGCTCTCTGCCCAATATGCTATAGGCACGTTGCTCACTGCTGGAATAGATGTTTATAAGTACACCGCCGCCGAGCCCCATGCTTTGCATGGCCAGCAGTCCGTTGCAGAAGAGTGAGGCAATGGCTGCATCGACGGCGCTACCTGCCGACTTCTGCATAATATCCCTGAGGGAAGCAAAATTATTTACCAGTTGAGAATTCCACAACAAAAAAGGCTACAAGTTGCATGCGAGTATATGTGTGGGTAATTACCTGCCGATTCTGCTGCAAACATCGCTGTCGGAACACACCGCACCGTTTTCATATTCGTATAGTGGTGAAAATGAAGGAGGCTGCGGCGTTTCCGGATTGGGTGGCCGCAATGCCTGAATGTTTTGCAACGAAGAACTTCTTTGTTTGGAGAGTTTGTAGAAAAGAAATACTACAGCGCTGAGAATGATAACAATTCCGTGTATTAAATTCATCACTAAAACGTGATTTATAATTTCATAAAATAATTGTTTGAGCAATAAATTGGAGAATATTTTTTCACATTGTTTATGTTGGCACACGATTCAATAAAGTGGGAAACGTCAAATAAGGAAGAAAATATCCTTTGAGTTGTGACATGCGCATTGTGAAAGGACTTTTTGGTAACGGCAAAATGCTGTATATGTCAGCGGCTGACAAAAGACTCGGCAATGGCGTCAAAGGAAAATTCGTATTGAGCTTTCTTGAAAGGCAATGCATTCTTGGGACTGAACTGTACATAAAAGAGAAGAGTAGTGCGTTGCGAAACCTGTCACCTGCCTTTGCAGACAACTCGTTGAATTTTGTAGAAAGAACAACATTCTTATCGACAGCTGAGTGGAAGAGCGACCTATCTCTATAAAAAAAGCTCCCTAATTCACAATTCGGTTGAAGAACGCGCTATCTCAGCAAATGGTTCAAAACGCCCTATATCAGTTCCCGATATATTGAATTTACATAGAGATAGTGCGTTCTTGAAAAATTTGCAGAGATAGGACGTATTCGAACCGGCTGCCGAGATAGGTCGATCAAGCGTCGATATGCGCCCTTATAATGCGGAAAATACAGATTAAACAAAAAAAAAATTAAAAATTTTTAGTGCCTACATTCTTTAACATAAATTGAAGGACATAACAATTTTACGACACATCCGATCGGTGGATGGTTTTTTGTGATAACGTTTTATAGGAGAACTACAATCGCTATTCCTTTCATTTTGAAGTTATCCTGAGCGAAATAAAATCTGGGTGCTACTGAAAGTTAGTGCGAACCGCTAACAACCAACGTACATATGTATCTATGCCGTTCAATTAAAATGGCCTAACTAAAAGTTTAATGAATGAAGAAAAATCGTAATTATTGGACCTTCTTCTTCTTCTTCTTCTTATTTGACACTACAAAAAAGCTTCTCCTTGGAAAGGAAAAACGAGCCAACTTTTTCATTATCGAAGCTTCGATTTCGAAATAATCAATTAAAAATCAAGTCCTTAGAAAAAAACTTTTAAGGCGGCAACAAAAGTTAGAAAGACTTCCATAGTCTCATTTCCGATCAGCTGATTCGAAAAAAGAAATGACTACTTACCAATAAGTTAATCTTAAAATGCGTCTTGCCATATATAAAAATCGTGTTTCGCTTGTATTTTAATTTTTTTATATTTTAAAGCTTTTCGTCAGTTTGATATATTAAAAATGTTTTGAATAAAAACGCACTTTATTAGGTGGTTTACAGCAAATACTTTTTCAGTACCAAGTTAAATACTCATAGTTGCATGAAACAATTATTTGATTGATTTGAGATAGGAATTCAGCAAAAATTACAGTATTCGTGTATACAGTTGTATCTACATATATTTTATGCAAAATAGATTGGTATGTATTTAGGTATGTATGCACATGATATGAAATAACTCTAAGAATAATACTTAAAAAATTACAAAATACAAAATACAAATATAAGTAGAATACTACAATTTACAAGTTGTCGTCAAAAAATGTACAAAAATGAGTTTTCAGTTGTCCACGGTTGGACTTTCTGCTTTCTACAGAGAATCACTGGATGCATGCATACAATTCATATGCAAATACTATTTAGTTTACAGCTTAAAAATTCTTTTTTTTTGCATTATTTCGAATAATATATGTATTAGGGTTGTCCTCAAAACTGTCAACATATAAATTTTCTATGGGTATTTTTTTTCTACTTACAAAATTAAGGAATACACGAAAATTTCAAAATTTCAAAAAAATTTTAGGGGTCGCTACCAGGGTTCGAAAAAATTAAAATTTATTTAAATCGCAAAACTTTGATGAAATTTTACTTTATGTACATACATAACGCGTTTGACGCGTATTTTAATTGCCCTTCCAACTATCAAATCCTGCTACAGAACGCAGAAAAAAATTTTATATTTTTAACCGACTTCACAAAAGGGAGAAAGGTTTAAATCCGATCATCGGACCATGAAGAAATTAACGATAATCTTAAATTTTTACATGAATCTTGAAGTCGGTTTTGTTTTTTGCTTAAAAATTACTTGTAAAATTTAAAAATTTTTAATTAAAATAATTGTTTTTTTAATTTTGAAAAAATTCGTGGATGTCTTTATTTTGTGCGTAGAATAAAATAATATGATGTCCCATACAAAATATAGATGTTGATATTTTAAGCGCCACCCTAATATGTGTGTACATAATTGCATACATATGTAGGAAAAGCATTATTTTCTTCTTCTCATTGACTTTGTGGTAGATAATAAATAATCTCGCAATGTTGTGTTTTTTGTTTTTTTTTGGACTTAGCGCACACTTATTTATGTATTTATGTATACATATGTACTACATATTGAATACATACATACTTTTGTAAAAAATTTGAGAATTCATTATTGTGCTTTTAAAAACCAGCTACGCCGCCACGTTTTCTAAAGTCCGCATTCGCGTATATCGCCGTATCGTTTCTCGCAATGGCGCACACCACTGAGCCAATATCCTTGTAAGGTTGCAACTCGTGTCCTTTCGCCTTCAGCAGCTGCAATACTTCCTGTGAAAGTGAGGCGATTTGTTTATAATTTTCAATACTTTTTTCTAAGATTTATGTGATTCACTTACCTCACTAAATTGACCAAATTCGTATTGCAAAACATTTGGTAAGAGTTGATGATGAATACGTGGCGCATCAATGGCCGACTTGATGTTCTGCCCGAACCATAGGATGCGCGCCGCCACCTCAACAACAGCTGATATGATTTTCGAACCACCTGCAGCGCCCAAAACCAAACGCACATTACCTTTCTGATCGGTCAAAATCATCGGTGACATCGACGACATGGGTCGCTTGCGTGCGTCAATAAAATTGGTAGGTGCCGCTGGTAGACCGTAGTGATTAGTAGTACCAGCGACAGAGAAATCATTCATGGCGCTATTAAATACGATACCGGTACGACGTCCAGCCTGACTGGCACCAAAACTACGAAAAAATTGAAATCATTTGAAATTGCGAGCATTTTAAACACAGAAGAGGTGTTGCATTGTACTCACTATTCGTTAACGGAGCTCGTCACAGAAACCGCATCGCCATCGGGCGCCAGAATGACTACATGGGATGTGCCTGCATCGTCTTCGCCCATAAATTGTGCTCCATAATCAAAGATTTCCTTATGCACTTTATTATCGTTGATCTTCTCGCGTATGCTCATGCTGTACTCGGGGTTGGTAAGTCTGCTAACGAGCTGTTAAAGATAACCCAGAGACTGAGTTGTTTGGTATGCAAATATGTGCACCCTGCAACGTGAACTCACCTCACGCACATCGTTGAAGCGCAAATCACCCAATTCCCAGCGCTTTGCAAAGCCAAACTTAAGCGCTTCCGCTATGCGATGCAGCGTATTAGCCTCGTTCTGCGCACCGACCAAATCGGCTTTGGTGAAATTGAAACCTTCCAAAATGCTGAGTATATTGGCCACAACAGTGCCGCTACTAACAGGCGGCACGGCATAGAGTATATCATCGCCCAATTGCATGGTGATCGAACTGACCATATCAGCGGAGTAGGATTCTAAGTCGTATGCTGTTATTTTGCTACCGAGATCCTTTAGGTCCTCCACCACCATATGCGCCAGCGTACCATTGTAGAAGTCGAGTGGCCCATTTGCCGCTAAGAGCTCATAAGTTTCGCAAAGCACTTTTTGTGGCTTAATTTTCGTGCCGACCGGGTACAGTTGACCAGTTGTGGCATTGACGAAAACATCGCTGTGGAATAAGCAAAAAAACGTTAAGCGAATTGTTTCGTATTCTGGATAGCTGCTTACTCACGTCAACACGGTGTTGTTCTTCATATGATGCCAGCGATAATTCAATGCACTCCATTGGTGATGTGTCAAAAAGAAGCCTTCGTGACACAATTTAATTGCCGGTTCGACGAGTGTCTTCCAGGGTAATTTGCCAAAACGTTCGTGCGCGCGATGATAACCCATAAGTTCGCCCGGCACGGCAATCGAAAGTCCGCCATTTAGCGATAGTTCCAGTTTGCCATCGAACATTTCTTGGAATGCTTCGAACGGTGCGACCTCTCGTGCGTCAATGGAATAGGCATGTTTACTGTCCTTAAGGTAGATATTCATAAGCATGCCTCCACCAATACCCATGCTATGCATGGTTAGGATACCATTACACAGGAGAGTGGCGATGGCAGCGTCAACAGCACTACCCTTCTGGTCCAGCATGTGACTGTGGAACAGAATGAAAGAAATTAAGAGTTTAGGGGAGACGAAAAATAAATTAAATATAGGTAGCCTACACTTGTGCAACTGAGTACTGATAAATTAAGTTTGTTCAATGGAATTCAGTTATAGCGAGTTAAATATAATAATAAAGGATGTCCTTTGGAGGGTGTGCTTTCTCATTTGCTTGACTCCCTATTATTTGTTCCAAAGTAAAGTATGTGAATGTCAAGCGAAGCCAATCTTACATGGAAATCTCACGTGGGGCATAAGACCTCGAAAGCCTTGGCAAAAATTTGGCAATATAAACGAGTCTTTGCAACAACATTGGGTCCGTCAGTAAAGGGTATACTCTGAATCTATTACTCTATTATTCGATCTATTCTCAGTTATATGTATTTACGCCTGCCATATGGTAGTGCAGATTCCCAATACATTTCATTTGAAATCAGCTGCCTTATCTTACGGTCACAGTGGTAAAGCGTCAACTTCAGTTGGACGTATTGACTATGTGATCCCGGATCTGGAACGAACTTCAAAGCCACTATAGAGATCGAAGGCTGGCGTGGTTAGGTGTACTGGCTCAGTGAATGTCTATACAGGCCGACCGAAGATTGAGAATGGCCTAGGGGCGGTAGTCGTACGCGGAGCTCCGCATCCAGGTGGAGGTATTTGCCATTGGGAGGGCGGCAGAGCTACTGAACAGCAATCCCGGTAGGTGAATCTACATATATCGATAATTAAGCTGTGACAAAGGTGCTACTATAGCATAGCATCCGCTCTGGATTTGCTACATACCAATAGTGATGTACATCTGTACTGGATTCCGAGGCAAACCGGCGTCGCGGGAAACGAGGAGCCCGACAAACTTGCCAAGGAGGACGCTTTGTCGGAATCCATGCCGATAGAGGAGGTGCCGATTTCCCTCCAAGCGATTAAACGGCAACTCGACCTCTGACTTATGATAAGATCTGTAGAAGATGCAGAATGAAAGGGGAGACAGTGGAGCATATGCTCTGCGAATATCCTGCCCTTAGCAGACTGCGGAGCAGGGTTTCTGCCTAATCTGAAAGCCGCCGCCAAGGTAGGGTATGACAAGGTGTTTCAGTTTCCCAAGCGAACTTCGATGTTCTTCAACATTGGTACTGGTACGCAATGATTAGCTGTCCAAAGTGGTCGTAGTTTATATGGCAACGCTATGGAGGCAGAAATTGCTGTTTGAAAAGGTATGGACAACCGGGTATTTTGTACGCTCCAGAATAGCAAGCCACTGTTACTTTTCATGAAGAGAGTCTACAGTATTTACTTCCCTGGACCTG